TTGTACTCTACAAGACAGTATAGCCTCCCCTCCAGCACTACAGACCAATAGTGAACCTTGGTTTGTCTTAAGCATCATGTTTTTGTAGTCAATGCTACTAATGTATTTGGTAAGAAAATCTTGACCAATGAGCCCTTCGGGAGTTATGTCACACACCACAACCTCATGAAGATAGGTAACATCCCCGAAGTCAAGAGGAACAAGGGCTGTCCCAGAAACATTCAGTGTAGAGCCATTGACACCTTGGATATCTGATGTCCATGGTACAAGTTCTGGCTTACACGTAAGGGTATCATACTTTCCTTTAGACAGAAGAGTCACTGTGGAACCAGAATCAACCAGAAATCTCACCTCCATGGTGTCTACTATTCCAGTGACATAGAAACCATTGTCACATTTGTGGATAGATTCGCCAACCTGTCCTATTCTAGGAATGTCTCTGTTACTGAGCCTTTGTTCCTCTGTCAAGATTCGGCCCTCTACCTTGACAGATTGAAGTTTCCCTGTCCCTTAGAGTTTTCCTGCCTGTGACTCTGTTGTGGCATCTGAGTCCCACAATTAGAGTTTGGGGGCATCTGAGGCATCGTTTGCGTCCTCGGCATTTGGGCATACGTTAGCTGAGATTGCTTGAAGCTCTGGCACATCTGATTATAGATGGGACAGTTCCTGAGGAGATGCCCATTTTCGTTGCAGACAAGGCAACGTCGTGCAGGCCTCTGAGACTGAGCAGTGTAATTTCTACCCTCAGGTGTAGGCACAGTGCGCCGTTCTCTATTGGACTCATACCCTTTGTTTTCAAGCCTAGATATGCTCGAGGCAATGTCCTTGAGGTACTTCTCAAGACCTTTATCATCTGGTAATTCAGCAGATGGTGGACCAACATAACGTACAGATGGCCTCTTTCTGTCCTTAGAATCATCCATTATTGCCTCATAGCGTTCAATAACATCAACAGCTTCAGAGACAGAGCGACAGTCACGATCCATGCATCTACATTTCATTTCTAGACGTATTGCCTTATACAGCTGGTTTAGGGCTAGGGCTTTCTGAGCTCTAGCATCAAGGTTAGAATAGGCTCGCTGTGCCATCTGCCTCAGATCATCACCTAAAGTAGCAATTGTTTCATTGGGTCGTCTTTGCCTCATCTCTAACCGTGAGAGCCAACGACTTTGCTGACGTGAACTGCCAAATCTATCACCAATTTTCCTGACAAGGTAAGTGTAGTTACGCCTCTCATCTGGAGACAGACCTATATAGAAGGTACGTGCTGAACCTCTTAAACTAGCTGCAAGGGCCAAAACCTTGTCCTGGTCATCCCATCTGCCAAGCTCAGCACATGCCTCAAAGTGACACAGGTATTCTTCCCAATCACCATGACCATCATATGAGTCAGGATGGAAATTAAGACCAGCCTTGGGTTTAAAATGTGTGTTTGCCTTAGTAATAGGCCTTAGCCGTGTTTGGTTGGGTCTCGGGAAGGGTAAGTAATCATCAGTACCCTCAGCATGGGGTAACTCAGATGAGCCTGGCATGAGTCCCTCTACTGGAGGAACAAACATTCGCCCATGGCTGTGAACATAGGTAGCACCATCAGCTATTGTACAATTATTCCTAGGACCTCTCCTCGGAGAAGAATTGGGACACCCATAAAGTACATCACCCTCAGAGCGACTATGTTGTACCAATGGATGTGGAGTTCCCGGCCTCATTGGTAGCCTATCATCAGAAACAGATCTAATACTTGAGCCACAACTGACCCTGGAGATTTGAGACATCTGATCATCATCTGGTTCATCATCAGGAGAATTCCTTGCAACATCAATAGTTTTGAATAAGACATCTGGGTCTGGTGACTCTGCCATCGTCTCCAGAATCTACCAACCCTAATGGATTCGGACCACTGGATACTAATTATGAAAATCAGTATCCCACTTCTGACACCAAAATTGTAACACCCTTGGGGTGCACGTGGGAAAACAAATAACACAAGGAGACGATGAAGTAGAGAGCAAAGTTTGCCGTGATATATGCAAACTTTGTTTTAATTTTGTTTCAATGGCAAGAATGTAGATGGGATTTTGTTAGCAATGCAATAAAATAAATGATGCCAATAAATATCACACACTACTCGGCCTATATATATATATATCTAATGACAAGGCTCAGTCTCCAAGGAAATAGTTATTTTGTTATTTCAACTCAAATATCTTGCAGAAATGTTACTGAGTATGTAATATAGTTATTAAATTGATTGTAATTTGTCTTAAAATATATACCTAGAAGCAGTTATGATGATAAATCTAAGTCAGTAGAGGTGCCAGGTAAAAACTAGAGCAGGAGCCTTTAATCAGACCGAAAGTCTTATTGTATCTAAATCGAGTGACCCGAGTGAATCGAATCCGAATGCGTCGAGTGTCGAATCGAGTCGAGTGTCAGGCCTTGACCAGTGATCGTATTTATAGGCATCATCAGGAGGTCATGTGACCTTTCTCAACCAATCAGAACACAGGTTTGATGGCTTGCATACAAGAAACGCTGCATAGGCAGTTTCATTTCTAACACAAGTAAGTGACTACTAATTGTCCTTATGTTGTCCTTCTTGTCCGAATACAATTAGGACACAGTAGAAATAATCAGGACATCGAGACAATTTGTTATAATAAAACGGACAATATCTTTCCGTCAACGTAGCGTCAGTGGCCGCCATCTTGGTTTGTGGTCGGCTCTATGACAAGTGAAATTTACAAAAGCATCAGTTTCCTTTATCATATGGTATTGTCCTTATGTTAAATAAAGTGTCCGAAAAGATCAACCATGATGGACAAGTGAGATTTGTGTAAACATGTGATATAACAAGAATAAGGACAACGATTATATTCAGGCCAAGCGGCGGGACGACATTTTGACAGACGTCAAATGTATACTAAGACCATTGACAACTTTGGCCCAGTGTAGCATCAATATGCCCTGTATCCAGGAATTGATGTTGTCCTATGTGTCCTTTAACAATTCGGACACGAACAAGTTTGCTAAAATATTTGGTAAATGCAAACAGAGAAAACGGACAGCAGACTGTCAATTAGTGCCTAGAATGATTGTCGGCAACAAATGTCAAAACACGAAACGACTGTCATATTGCAGGTACAAATGTAGGAAATACAGGTGGTTATACATTGTCCTCTATATCGTAAAGCAAGGCATTTCTACCATAGAATGCAGAAAAATACCAGATAATGAATATGTGGCTTTGATATAAAAACGGACATCCAATTTATAATTAGTCACTCAGCCTAACGTAAATGTTGTTGACAGGTCACCGTAACCCGAGAAATGTCAAACAGATCAAATTCGTTATTCGGTTCAATCAAGTGTAATTTTCATTAGTATCCATCATGGAATACACTTTAAAACACTTCTGAGCAAGAAAGTTATCAGAAAATCGTCATTAACAAGTGTAATAAGTCATTGTTTATCTGGGTCAAAAGTCACACTTACTTTCTATAAATAGCCACGAAGCAGGAGTGTACACAAGAAATAGTCCCTGACAAACATCGGTGTTAACACTCAAAATACACAATGATTCAAGACAGTGAATAAATATATCATTTGGAGACATGAAATACATAAGTCTGTACAATAATAGTACACAATGACATCAGTAGTAGAATCCTTCATGGATGTAAATAGCGTAGTGACACACAGTGGTAATTAGGTCATGTCTGACAAGTGCTGCTACCGCGAACGTTCAGTGCTTGATAAAACAGCTATCAACAGTGAATATGCCCCCTTAAAGATGCCTCAGATCTGTGAACTTCAGAACCAGGTAACTGTCTATGATGTTGTTAGGTTATTATTTACTTTAATGTTAAAAATATGGATGGACATTTGCAGATAGATCGTGATATAACGAAAATAGGTGACACTTGTGATTGACAAAGTTTACATGATGTTTTAATACTTATACTATATATCAATTTAGATTCTATTACAATATTCTCTGTCTAGTTATCAATGTTTCGACATACCCTTTGGCTTCCACTTCTTAGGTTTTTCCTGTTCTAATTAGAGGACGTTTTTGTGCTTCCCTTTCGGTCCCGATTTTGATGCTTTTATTTGGCACATGCCATTCTATTTCTTGGTGGAACCTAAATAAATATTGATGAATGGTACATGTGTTTTGTTGTCTTTCTTTCCATAGATCTAATAACGACTAGGTGACAGCAACACGGCAGTTGAGGCCAGCTGACCCAAGTCTGGCGTTGAGCTATCTTGAAAATGTAATTCAGAGGAAACTAGCTGGTTTAATATTAAATGAACATGTTGGGGTTCATTTGTCCTATACCACCGTGTTGCTGTCTTCTAGCCAAGTGTTTGTTATCTAAATGTGCGATGGAAAACCTAAAGCGTATATACACACATGGGTAGTCATGGCCCAGCCAAGCAGATGTCGGATCTGTAGATATTTTACGATGACTTCGCTCACTAAGTCACGGTAAGCCTGACGGGAATCGAGAGTGGTCTCCCTTCGATATTTGTGACTACATGTATTTCTATGTTAAAGCGTCTTTGGGTATTTCAGCATTGTCTAATACCGAAAGATGGGCAGTGCTGTTTGAAACATTATTATGTGAACCAACGTACACGCAGTGCCAGGTTGAACTGGCCTGTCTCCCTTGGAATGTTTTGCGAGTTACTTGATACCGGAGCAGTTAAGGTACCATCTATTTCTCAAATAAATGCACGAGTGATGGGAAGTTAGGCGTTTTGGTTTTCAGTACACTTTGGTTTATCTCAGCGGCATGTAGATAATGGAGTTTGGCCCAGAGAAACCAATGGCATTCAGAATCAACTTCTGTCGTCGGGACAGGTGAATTTACCCACTTGTTTCAAATTCAATATAGTCAAACTTTCCAAACTGAGCAAAGTTTGACCTTGACCAGCTAATAACAACTCAACGCAGGGCTTTTTCGCATTGTTGTGAAAACAAAACAGATAAGACATAGCTTGGATAGTTTACTTCATGAAAAAAACAGTTCATCCCCATAGTGACTGGGTCAAGATCAACACACAGATGACGAGAAAGTTTCTATGGTGGTCACTAATTGCTGTGTTCAACATGTCGCACTGGCATTTCTCGGATTCCATGATCATGTCGCTGAGGGGGCCGTTGTCGTCGGTACTGTTGGAGGTGTTCTTGATAACTATTATTTGAAGTCGTGTTGACGCAGACTGGAAATATAACGTGTAAGTTAGTATTAAATGTTTTACACTGCATTCAATATTCAAACTAATTGACGAATTTGTAGAGAATCCTGTCTGGACCAGACAATGCATGGACATCGATCTACGCAATAAGTCAAGGTCCTGACCGGTGTCAGCCCGGGACCGCCACATTTCCCAATTAGTATAGTCTCAGGAGCGCCACAATTGATTTCACTGCAGTTTGTGGCGTTCTGGGGATTATATGGTGGAGTGATTACCGTTTTCTGACAAAAGAGTTCACTGCCTAAGTCCTAATGACCTCATGTTATCTCTGCCTTTAATGTTGCTAAGTAAACGACCATATAGAAACTTTTGTATTTCAAACACGTATCACCATTATGGCTAATGTACAAGTGCAACTAACAGTTGTCGAGAACGTAAGAGGTGGCCACAATGTTTTCTTTAATGGCCACAGATACAGCAGTCGCGGCAATAAGAAGTATTGTGCCGTCTCACAGTGCACTGCACGTATTTCTACACAGGATGGAAAATTATTTGCTGTAGAAGATCAGAATCACACACACCCGTCATTCCTTTTGAGACTGAAGCTAGCATCTTTAAGTCTACACTAATCCAGAGAGCGAAGACAGAGCACCCCATTCCTACCATCTATGCCGAAGAGATCGCCGCCGTGAGACGTCAGCGTACGACGTTCAACGGATGACTTTCTGCAGACCCTGCCGTAATTCCAATCCATGAGAACCCATGTACAGACAGACACACCACCTTCCCTCGACTGTCCGCGGCCAGACCAGAGATCGTCCTGAAAGCCAGGTGGACCCAGACCCATGGAGGAGACCAGTTCCCTTACCGCCTCAACAACAACATCCCGCTGTTCACCACGTCCAAGAACATGGTGTACCTTACTGCAGCGGACACCATATTTTGCGATGGCACCTTCTACACTGCCCCACGTTTGTTTGACCAAATATGTACCATATTTGCTGAAGTGCATGAGACAATGTGCCCCTTAGTGTTTGGACTTTTACCAGACAGAACTGAACTCACATACACCTCGATGTTCGACTTTCTACGCCAGACCGATCAAGACCTGAACTTTCTCTTCGCGCCGAATGTCGTACAACTAGATTTGAGTTGTCTGCTCACAATGCCGTTCGTTCTTCCTTTCAAGGTACTGATGTTCGTGGGTGTGTTTTTTTCCCATTTTACTCAATGCATATGGAGACGTGTGCAGAAGAAAGTACTAACCACGGACCCAGAAGCCAAGAAACTGGTGCGAAGAGCTGCTGCTTTGCCTATGGTACCACTCGACAAGGTTGAGGATGTGTGGCCTGAAGCCATTGCAGATAGCCCAGTAGGTCCGAAGATCACCTCATTCATGGACTATGTGACCACATCCTGGCTTGAAGGTCAGCAGTTCCAACCTCCTGTCTGGAACCACTTCGGCAACTCAAGTCACAGGACCAACAACCACCTTGAGGGCTACCTTGAAGCAGCACACATCCAATGGCCACCCGACATCTACGAGGCAGTTGAACTGTTTCAGCTGGTGCAGTCCAACACCGAGGTGAGCGCAGCGCATCTGCGTGTACATCCACAAGCACCACCACGCAGGCAGCGATACCGAGTTATCAACTGACAGATTGCGGAACTGAATGATGACCCGAGAAACGGACACCTGTCTGAGATTGTGTACACAGATCATGTCTCGGAGCTTCTTCATCTTGAATGAACAATGATCTCATGATATGAAAATTAGGTAAACCAAAAGTTATCATTATTATTACACATTTCCACCAGAGAGTAAATGTTATTATCTACAAACAATGCTTTAACAAAGTATTAACTTGTCGACTTCCTCATCACCTTGTGTTTTTAAGTGCAATATATTGATGCATTATTTGACTATAAATAGCTTTGTGTGTCCAGCTTATTTTATATTATGTATTATGTATATTATAATCGTCATATGTTCTATTAATGTTCTATTATTCAAGTGTGAGGTTTATGTCAATCTAGAAATGTTATATTATAACTCTTTGTTACTTTAATGTCTTGCATTTGAATAAAGCTGACATGCATAGTCTGAGTTCACCAAGTAAACACTTGACTTGAATGTGTACGGTAATCTAATTAATCACCTGTGAACGGTACCGGGACCGCCACAGTTGTATATCAGAGAACCATTTACTATGCCCGGGAGCGCCACACTACATTTCGCTCCAGAAATTACAAATGTGGCAGTCCTGGGTATAAACCTCCTGACCACCTGCTAATCGCCTCTTACAAGCACGGACTCTTGAAAACCAGTTCGGCTCATCAAGTCTATGGATTAATTCAGTCAACAAGGTATACTTGGCCTTTTAAACCCAGAACCCAAATTACAGTCACTATGAGCAAGTCTTGTTTTCATCCATGTAGCGGTGTTTAAACTTCTTCGTGGCCTGTCCGCTTAGTTTAAATTGGGGAAAGAGTTCATTACGTACCTTCCGCCTATTTAATAAGGTACTTTTCATTACTTGTATATCTTTGTATTTTTTTGAAAAACTTAGGTGGGGGGTACGCAAGGAACTTAACTAAATTGGGGAACAATGGGAGGTAATCAGGTTCTAATACTTTGGTGAAACCCACGTGATGGGTAATAGTGCGCGCAAACCTAGAGGCATTTTAAGGCGAATGTGGGGTTCAAACCCATGACTAATTTTGGTAAGCCTAAGTTCGGGAAAGGCGCTTTAAACACCATGGGTGAGGCGAACCGTGTCTGCGATAACCTTAGGTAACTTTAATTGCACATAACAGGATTGTTTGTTTACTGTACGACTGCGGTCTAAATACTCGAGCATCGATCTACGCAACTGGGATATGATGGCATGTATTAAGTAACCAAGTGAGCGGGCCTTGCCACCCAGTCCCGTTGGTCGCCTCCTACAAGCATGGTTGCTGAAGACCAGTTATAACGAGTGAATATACAAAATATAGCAAATAGAAATACCCACCTGTCCACGGGAGTCCATCGCCTTTACTCTTAGTTCGTAGACTGGTTTTCGTTTGTAGTCTAAAGAGTGGATATTAATCACTCGACCACTGAAAGCAAATACATCCAAAAATTAAAAGTTAATTCGGCATTGAAGTCACCACATGCATGTTTGTGAATGAGATTTTTAGTTTTTTTTTATACGTTCCAATGTGAACTTCAGGTGTAATTCTAAAGACACTGACTATCACTTGAACGAATATAACAAGTTCGAACTTAAATTTACATACAGTTCAACTGAAACGTTTTTAGATTGTATGCAAGGTATAAAATTCTCGCATAAGGACGGGCGTGTCCTTGCAGAAAGCGATCTTAAATTCAGCGCCAAGGTTCTTTTTTCTACAACGGGACGATGGTATGAAAAGGGGGTCTGTATTTTATACATGTCACCTTGACCTTCACCACCGTATGGCTACTGAACAGGACATTTTGCGAACACCTGAGTCACTGCTTAAATCAAACTTTGATTCCAGGATTGTTGGGTTTCATTTCACTTTCGCCATTGCTTGTAAAAAATGCTTTCAGATTAATTTTAATAAAGTCATCAACGGATAACAATTTCAGACACCGAGGACAAGCAGGAAATACCATATGTGGGTGAACTTGGTAACGGTTTTGAAAGCACACTGACGGTATTCCAACATTTTTACCCAATATTTTAATCATTGACTTGACACGTGTCTTCAATTTTATAATTATATTGGGTACAAAATAAACACTGCAAAACACGCATTTAGCCCATAAAGTAATTTGTTTGTTATACGATGCATTCTGTAAAATGTTCAAGCTACATCCAAACCACTGGGAAAATCGCGAAGTCGGGGCCAGGAAAACTGATGATTCACCAAGCCGGAAGTATGTACATCAGATCCCAAATTTTATCGCCTATAACAACCTTAGTTGTAATCTCGCTGACCACGTATGCCAAGATAGGAGTGTTCGTTTAACGCCGCACTCTGCAATATCCCAGCTATATGGCGGCGGTCTGAAAAAAATCTAGTCTGGACCAGACAATCCAGTGATCAACAGCATGAACATTGATCGACGCAATTGGGATATGATGACATGTGGGTCAACCATGTCAGCGAGCCTGACCACCCTATCCCGCTAGTCTCCTGATAAAAGCATGGATGTTCACGTATGAAGACAAAAATGCATGAAGTCAACAGTAACACAATACCAGTGCCACTATACTTTGTTCCAGCCTTACCTTGATGGTTCAACTTCCAAATCCTTGAAGGCGTTACCACTGACAATACTGTAGGTCAAGTTGTCGCCATCGGGATCAACTGCCTGTCAAACACCAAATTTAAAACAAATGGAATCATTGGGGTATTTTCAATACTGTACACATACATCGGTGCTTGTGGCGGGTGGAACAGAATGGAACCCCGCCTTCAAGCATGACTAATAATATCTAACCTTTAGTCTAGGCTATGGCGTGTATAAGATCGGCTCTGTTTCTTTATGTCCTGGAATATCAGGCTCTTGAATTTAGGAATTAAAAAAATAGCTATCATTAAAGAGTAGCATGTATGTTGTGTACTTCTGCACTCACTCAGCAGCTATAAGGTGGTTGCCAGGCAACGTGTTGACTGATATTGTGACCAACGACCCACACCGTCTTGGTACCGAGTCACGGATCCTGCCGCCTGGGTACCGAGTCACGGACAGTGCCGCCTGGGTACCAAGTCACGGATCCTGCCGCCTGGGTACCGAGTCACGGACAGTGCCGCCTGGGTACCAAGTCACGGATCCTGCAGCCTGGGTACCAAGTCACGGATCCTGCCGCCTGGGTACCAAGTCACGGATCCTGCCGCCTGGGTACCAAGTCACGGATCCTGCTGCCTGGGTACCAAGTCACGGATCCTGCCGTCTGGGTACCAAGTCACGGATCCTGCCGTCTGGCTTCTAAGTCACGGATCCTGCCGCCCGATACTTTTAGTCGCCTCCTTCGACATACAGACGATACCGGGTACTTAAATCTACTCCTGAATCCAAACGGGGTCAAGAATGGACGAGTTCCTACCGGAATGGTGAAGATCGTAGTGTTGATGAGAGCCCATTCTCCAATGTGGACCATGTAGCGAGGGGATGGAATCGTTGGAGGTCTGTTCGGTGGAGCCTCGTCCTGCTTGCACGAGCAGTTGCGAGCGTGTAGGTAATGTTGAACTACCTTAATGTCCACAATTGTGTTGTCAGACTGAAATCAAATACATTTCAACATTCACTGACAGGTCCAGACACAGATCGTTGTTATCGTATGGAAGTATAAAAGGTCCCATCAGGTCGGACATAATCTCACATAACCCACTATATTAACCGAAAACTGTCTGAACAAAAACTGTCGTTTCTGAACGTCATGGGATCTACTTAACTAGAAGCTGTCGTAGGAATATTCATTAGCTCTGCAATGTTAAATGGATGTTAACCTTATGGAGGCAGGAATGGTATGAAGTGAGTGACTTTAGTTTTACGGCGCTTTTAACAATATTCCAGCAACATCCACGGCGGGGGAAACCAGAAATGGGCTTCACACATGGCTGCATGAGAGGAATCGAACCCGGGTCTTCGGTGTGACGAGCGAATGATTTAACCACTACGCTACCCCACCACCTAAGCTGGTTCCCGGCTCCCTTTGCTCGCGCTAACGTTCGCCAAAGCTATTGCGATATTGCGATATGCGAGACGGGCCCAGCTTACCCCACCACCCCGAAAGCTAAATGGTGGTTGTGCGACAACATATGATTAGCTTATCTTGTCCTCAAGCATAGATATTTCACTGTACGTGAAAGAACCAAGAAACTGACAACCTTTCATACTCATTTTCCTCAGAATATACTTGGACTGACTGACTGACTGAGTTTAGTTTTACGCCGCTTTTAGCAATATTCCAGCAACATCACGGCGGGAGACACCAGAAATGGGCTTCACACAATATACCCATTTGGGGATTCGAACCCGGGTCTTCGGCGTGACGAGCCAACGGTTTAAATCACTAGGCTACCTCACCGCCCCAGAATATACTTGGAAGGTCGACCTGCTCCTTGTACAATACGACCTCAGTGTCTTTACCTGAAGTTATGGCTTCGAAATACTCAAAATGGAAAACTCACTGATCCATTGGTTTCAGTGACAGTGACATTCAGATGGTACTCTCCTGTGTGGTTGATAGTCAGAACATTAACATTCCGTATGACGCCTCTGAAATAGAAATGTTGATTATTTATATGCCATAACATTTGATAACCATTAAGCTGAAGGAAAAGCAAGTTCTATGGACAACTGGGACACGAGCCAATCAGCGAAGTTGTATAACCCGTACCCGGCCGATTCCCTTCCTTCTTCAGCCTCCTACATGTATGACTGACTGAGTTTGGTTTTACGCCGCTTTTAGCAATATTTCAGCAACATCACGGCGGCGGCCACCAGAAATGGGCTTTACACATTGTACCCATGTGGGGATTCGAACCCGGGTCTTCTGCGTGACGAGCCAACGCTTTAACCACTAGGCTACCCCACCGCCCCCTACATGTATGAGGAACTATACTAGCCATGGGGGCACCACCAAATTGGCTTCACACATTGTACCCATACGGGAAATCAAACCCGGAGCTTCGGCATGAAGAGCGAAAGCTCTAACCATTAAAGGCTACCCAAACATCCCTAAAGCCTTCAGGAAACTAAAAACAAATCTCTTGGTTCAAGCCGCAATATTCAAGCTACATGAGTGAGTATTCTTTTACGCCGCTTTTAGTAATATTCCAGCATACAAATAGCGGATGAGATGATATCGGCTTCACACATTGTACCCATGTTGGGAATTTATCTCAAGCATCTTCAGTGTGGCGAGCGAACGCTTTAACCCCTCGGCTACCCCATCGTCCTCCAGCTGCAGGACCGCGGTCTGTAAATCTATTTTTGACCAGAAAGTCTAGTGACCGACATCAATCAAGGCAACTGGGATTCGATGTCATGCATAAAATAGGTCCACCTGATCCGGTTAGTCGCCTTTTACGACAAGACGTAGACCAATTCCAACACGGATGTTCACAGGGTAGACAGGGGTATTTCTGACCACAATCTTCCAGCTTCTTTCATACTTCAGTAACACCTGACCTGTATACACTTACTCTTGGTCGATGTCAAAGTCACCATTGGCATTGCCCGATGCTATTTCAAACTGCAGGGTACCGTTGCCGTTATCACGCACCTGGAAAACATGAAAGTGCTTTGATACCGAGATTAGATGAACATTAAGGTAATTTGTTTTTGTCGCCTTGAGGCATTCAGTAATCATACGCTGTGATACTGGAACCTGTGAAGTAGGCTTCAATAATATATTCGAGAAAACTCGGGGAAAGAAGGGTTCTAAATATACTAGGCACATAAAGAAACTGTGCATACAAAAATTTAAAATCTAAATTTATAAAACCTGTGTAGACACATAAGGATTTAAACTCAGAGATTAGTGACATGCATCCAACATGCATGCACGTTCCGTGCCATCAGTGGGTTCGTCCTTGAGACGTGCAATACGTTGTTGCACGTGCATTCCGGGAAAGAGAAACAGAGCAAATGAATGCCACACAATACTGTCACTTTGGAAAGCTCAACCCCTGCCCTTGCGATCGTTAAAAAAATTAAACGGCTATTGAAACGCATAGCATGCCAAGGCTCACGTCTGCACAACGTCATGAGGCCATTGGGGTGGTCCGTGGGGGAATGTCTCAACGACAAGTGGCTGCACATTTCCACTCCCATCGGAACACCATTTCTGCACCGGCGAGACGCTACCAGAACACAAATGACGTCATCGATCGGCCACGTTCTGGACGTCCACGTGTAACAACGCCAAGACAGGACTTATGGATAAGGGTGACCCATCTTCGCCACAGGTTTCAGACTGCAGTGATGACTGCCCGAACCATCCCAGGACTTCGCCGTATCCACCCCAACACAGTTCGACAACGTTTACGTCATCACGGGATCAGACCACGACGTCCCGCCATACGGCCTATCCTGACACAACGTCATCGACAAGCTCGCCGAATGTGGTGCCGAAATCTTGTCCGCAGACCCTTGTTTTGGTGGAGAAATGTTGTTTTTACAGATGAGTCCAGGTTTAATATTTCCCATAGTGATGGACGTCAACGTGCCTATAGGCGCGTGGGAGAACGTTATGCACAGGCCTGTGTCTTGAGGAGGAATCGCTTTGGTGCAGCACGCCAAAGAACTCCTTTGGTGATTGTTCAGGGCAACTTAACTGGTGTGGGCTACAGGGATCAGATTCTTCGACCTGTGGCAATTCCTTTTCTGCAACGTCATGGCCCTGGGTTAACATTCCAACAGGACAATGCCCGCCCTCATACGGCAAGGGTTGCTATGGATTTCTTGCAATCACAACGTTGACTTACTGCCTTCGCCTGCAAATTCACCGGATCTCTCCCCGATAGAGCATGTTTGGGACGAGATGTATCGACGTCTACGCCGTCTTCCTCATCCGCCAGATAACGTCCTTGACCTTGCAACGGAACTTGAGAATCCCATATCCCACATCCCACAAGCCTTCCTTGCACGTTTGATAGGCTCTATGCGTCGTCGATGCACTGCTGTTCTCAATGCCGATGGTGGACATACCCGTTATTGAGCTTGTGACATGGTCGTTTGACCCCTGTCCCGCTTGTGGACTCGTGACGTCATTGTGATTGACTTTTTCAGTTGAAATTCTCCCGACTTATGGTCTCATGATCCCTCGATTAAAGTTTATATGTACCTTTGACATCGTTATCGTACTTATCAACTGGGATAATATTTTTACAATGCAGTTTCTTTATGTGGCTAGTATACATAAATACATTGGAAATACATTTCCTTGACAGAGGTTTTTAGTGGAGTCAGAGCAAAGCAGGCAATCGCCTGCAGGCAACGTAGACTGGGCCATGCACGAACAAACGTTTCACCCCTGCCGTTACCGACTGTTTTGGGTATTGGTTAGTTGGTTGTTCAACACCACACCAAGCAATATTCCAGCTATATAGCGGCGGTCTGTAAATAATTGATTCTTGACCATAAAATCTAGTGATCAACAGCATGAGCATCGATCTACGTAACTGGGATACGATGACATGTGTCAACCACGTCAGCGAACCTGACCAGCTGATTCAGCAAGTCGCCTTTTTTTTTACATGGGTTTCTAAAGACCAATTCTATCCTGATCTTCATGGGTCTCTGGGTATTGGATTAAGCAGTTGCCGTTTTCCAACAGTTTCACTGTAATGTAATTTAATTACAGCACTTCCAGAGACTATAGACCGACACGTGGTCTCTGGTTTCCGGGATGTGAATGTATTGTCAAATCATTTCCTAGCCATACTGACATTTCGTGAAGGTATGTCAACACGTTAATTTCAACATGGGAATGCGTTCTGTTGGAACTTCAACTTTTATTATACAATACTAAGGTACATGCACTCACGTTGTCTCCACCTGGGCACACAGAGAAAGTTGAATAACAGCCAGTATAGAATAACAGCCAGTATAGAATAACAGCCAGCAGACAACACATACCGGTATAGTGAGCACGTGGCTACCAGTCTGGATTCCTTCAGGTAAACGGACGGTGTACCGATCACTGGGAATCGACGGCCCGTCTGAACTGCGCTTCACGTTGACTACCACTGCACAACGATCCCTAAAGAAAAGGGACTGGTCAAGTTTAATCATGTAAAATTGACTGAAAACTGAATTCTTCACAACGCCATTCTGTAGTTAAAACAAATATATTTCCAACACAGTTTATAATTTAAGAGAAACGTGTTTCTTCATCACTAAAATATACATATTTTAATCTGTATTTGAAAAAGAAAATGTTCTCTACCTTCTGGGCGGTTTGCCGTGATCCGTTGCTTCGACCAAGATTACAAAGTTGTCCCCGTCTTTAACAGGGGTAATGAGCACGAGTTTATTAAACTCTCTCAGGTGGAATTTGCCCCATCCATTCTTGCACACCCCTGCAACTGCATAGCTCACGTTCCCACTTAGTTTGCTGTCAAGGTCTTGAGCTTCAAGCTGTCAACAGACATGAAAACCACAAAACGTTCTCCAAGTTGTCCCCCTTTCCATTGCCGATCTTCCACGTCCCTCCTCTCCCCTGCCCACCTTCCACGCCCCTCCTCCTCCCTGCCCATCTGCCCACCTTCCACGCCCCTCCTCTCCTGCCCACCTTCCACGCCCCCTCTCTCCCTGCCCACCTTCCACGCCCCTCCTCTCCCCTGCCCACCTTCCACGCCCCTCCTCTCCCTGCCCACCTTCCACGCCCCTCGTCTCCTGCCCACCTTCCACGCCCCACCTCACCCCTACATACCTTCCACGCCCACCTCACCCTGCATCTCCCAAGCCCCTCGTCTCCCCTGCACATCTTCCAAGCCCCTCCACTCCCCTCCCTCGTCTCCCGTTTTGCAGCGCCCCTCGTCTCCCTGCACGTTTTGAACGCCCCTCGTCTCCCTGCACATTTTGCACGCCCCTCGTCCCCGCCCCTTGTCTCCCCTGCACATCTCCCAAGCCCCTCCCTGCACGTTTTGCATGCCCCTCGTCCCCCTGCCCATCGTCTCCCTGCGTTTTGAACGCCCCTCGTCTCCCTGCACGTTTTGAACGCCCTCGTCTCCCTGCACGTTTTGAACGCCTCTCGTCTCCCTGCACACTTTCCACCCCCCTCCTCTCCCTGCCTATCTTTCACGCCCCTCTTGTTGCATACCTTTCATGCCCCTCGTCTCCTTGCACACCTCCCACGCCCCTCCACTCCTAGTCGCCTCTTACGACAAGCATGGGTTGCCGAAGACTGGAATGCTATATTCTAACCTACCTTTGTCACAAGAAACGGTTTCTTAAACGAGTACACTCCCTCAGGGACGATGACTGAGTTGATGGGGGAGGGGAACTCGGGGGCGTAGTCATTGTCACCTAGGATGTTGAGGGTCACTGATGCCAAGTTGTTGCCGAGCGTGCCGAGCGCCAACGCCTGTTGTCCAAACAAACACAAGTGTACTGGGGGCTTGTGCCTGGACATCGCCAATCTTAACAAGTTTGCTTCAATTCGTTTAAGACCCACCCCCAGTTTTAGCGAGATTGTGAGTCGCATATTTCAAAATGACATGACTTGATTCTACAACAGCATTTGCAATCAACATTTGGTCTATTACTTTCGATGCTGCTAAGGCGGCCATGAAAACTGGGACGAACAGACCGATACACCGACCTCAAAAAACGAAAAGCAGATATGAAATCTGAAAGGCACGATTGCAGTATACAGAGTTGATTACAAACTCAGAAATACAACAACTTTGAGCAGGGCAGACGACACCCGCCCCATAATATATTATATTTACTTCTGGGTAAAAATGGTTCCATCCGACTTTGGGGCGTATTTAAAAAGCATAGATTGAAATTTTGAAAACCTTCGACCAAGATTTTGACTAATATATATATAATAAAACTTATTATCAGTTATAGCATATTTCTTTCAATAACGCTGGCGCCGCTTATACTTCTTTCTTAAAGGAGCACTGTGCTGGATCCGATTTGTTATATATATATAATAAAATTTATCTCTTAGCATACCGTGTTCACTAGGAATTAATAGGAAAATGTAAGCTTCTTTGAGGGTAAAATGGTAAGAAGCGCGACGAGGTTTTGAAGAGTTACTTGCTTGGTCTTCAGCGATTTTCGTTTAAAATTTAAACACAATCTAATTACAACTGCATTGCTATAATTAAATCGTGTGTATGTGTTAGTCAATATATATCTATATATAAAGACTGAAATTTTCACTGAGGTAATTAATCAAATCCATTAAGAGTATGTCATATTTCAATCTGGCCACAAAATCTAGTTGATAGTAACATTCCTAAACATACTTTTAGTGTAATTTCATCTTCCAGAGTCTGAAAATGTTAGGATTAAAAGAAAGCAATAAACATCTATATTTTGTTTCGTTTAGTCCTGGCATAAATTAGTCTGACATTTTGAAACTATTTTTAACTTCTTCAAATTTGTAACTCAGACGGTTAGATAAAGGGGCAGATTTTTCGGTCGATTTGTCAAATTGCAATTATCATAATTCATTTGGTATCCTAAAATAGTAAAAGACTTACCAAGAAAGCGCAGGTTTGAAGTATCATATCTCCTGGGAAGGCCATCGCACCTAGCTTTAGATTGCCACCCGAGTTCACGATTCAAATTCTGACAAGCTGATTTGCATGACTGTCACGCTTTTCGCAAGCACGCTTTGGTTTGTTGTGGCACGTGCTCGTGTGGAGGTTTCATTCAGACTCAAGCATGGGTTTGAGTCCATTTGTTACACAGAAAACACTGAGTGAGTGTGCTTGTGAGACAAGAGACCAATCCCAAAAAAAAAAGAAAAGAAATAAAAAATGAAGTAAAATAAAAATACCCCCAAAAAAAACCAAAACAAAAAACAAAAAAACACAACAAACAAAAATAAACCAGACAAAATAAAAACAAAACAAAATTAAATAACCAACACCATCCCCCAAAAAACCCCAACCCCAAAAAAAACAACAAACAAAACAAAACAAAAAAATAGAACAAAAAGAAAAAAAAACAAAACCCAAACACAACAAAAAAACACAACAACAAACACAAAAACAAAACAAAACAAAACAAAAAAGAACACAAACAAAACCATACAGCAACAATAATAACATACTAATATTAATAATAAAAAAAACCAACAAATTAAACAATATTTCAGCTACATGGCAGCGGTCTGTAAATAATAGAGTCTGGACCAGAGAATCCAGTGATCAACAGCATGAGCATCGATCTACGCAACTGGGATACGATGACATGTGTCAACCCAGTCAGTGAGCCTGACCACCCGATCCCGTTAGTCGCCTCTTACGACAAGCATGGGTTACTGAAGATCAATTCTAGCCCGGATCTTCACGGGTCTCAAAAGACAACCGAACAACAAATACTCAAACTCAAAAACAACAAAAACAACAAAAACCCAAGCACAAAAACACAAAGAAATAAGACATACAAAATTTACGGTAAAAATAAATACAAACGATAATAAGAAATAAAGCGAAATAAGATAAAAACATATACATTAAAATGAATATAAACATGATAAATACATATTTAGAAACATTGGTCACAGTTAGCTATGAAGAATGGCCGTAATTGGCTAAACACGTTTGTTTAAAGTTTGTTACCCGCCTCAGTGGTCAAGTGGAGAGGGTATCTGCCCGGACAGCGGAAGGTTGGTAGTGCCATACCGTGGCCGCGTCCTGCTACAAGATGGTACTTGTTGACACCTTGCCTGGCGCTCAGCAATAAGGGTATAACACAAGGACTGGTCGACTCTGAGTCAGAATACTGTGTACGATATCTATGTTAAACTGCAGCATGGTATGTAAGTAGGTTAGCGCGAATATCGGCATTGGTCCTGACTATGTCTATAGTGCAATAATCTTTCGGTTGGGGTAGTCCAGTGCTCAAAGCATTGGCTCGCCATGCCGAAAAACCGTGTTCGGTTTCCACATGATCACATGATAATGGAATGTGTGAAGCCCTCAACTGGCATTCCCCTCCACGGCATTTCTGGAATGGAATTGCTGAAAGACGGCATAAAGCCTGTAAAATACCAACGCAAGAAATACGTGATGATGTGATGATGATTTTACGACCGCTTCAGTTTGGACCGAGGTTTCACTCGAAGCAAACCTGTAAATATACGTTTCGAATGTTATGAAAATCAAAATAGTGATTTAATGTTCCAACAATGTTCAAGAAAACGCTTCGGAATATGGTGTAATACTGACAGTTCTGGTTCATACAGAAACATCTGAATCATGTCCGTTTTTTTATAACAATCCGACATTTATGATAACCCAACAGTGGCGCTGATCATAAACTTCCGGTTCCAGTTGTGCATGTGTTTGAACACTGACTTATATATCGTTTTGTAGTTTCTGAAAGATATATAACTGTACAAAATGCAGGAAGTTGTGGCTCCCGTGTATAACATAACTTTCGACATAGAGGTTGCTTTAGATCAGCAACTAGGGGCTCTACCGTTGCCTTTCCCTGGCATGGACAGTGAGTGTTTGTTGTTTTGTGATGCCGGTAGGCACCGGTACAACGCATATTACATGATATGAGCAGTACTGTTAACAAAATAAATCCGGTTGCTAAGAGTTCCGCCCGTAACCCCCGCTTAAAATATGTTATGAATGATTATTTCAAGAGGTTAGGGTTTAGGATTTAGATTCAGCATTATGTTAGGTTTTGGGTTAGGGTTAGGGCTTTCTATAAAAACCATCTATTCTTGCTATAAATCTCAGGCATAGAATGATAATAAAACGGGGGTTACGGGAGGAAATCTTTTCATATGGTTAATAGTGTTATGTAACTGTTGACGTGGTAATGATGATTTTTAATACAATATGTGTGTGAGTGTGTGTGCAACAGTTTATCTTCTCATCTTGTCAATTTGCATTTTTTGACAACATGTTCACAATTGGTGACTCTGGACACTAAGTACACGTAATTTCCTTTGCCAAGTCAGTCTCATGATGAACTGATTAAAACACATTTCATTTGTCAGAATTCTCAAGGTTATCCCTCAACAATATTTGATACTTTGGGCAGGTCATGATGCTTCAGTCCCAAGTCCGATGTTTGAATCCCAAGACTTGTTCTGATCATGAACCTCAGTAACAAACCCATGCTTATTGTCGTATTCACTGGGACTAAATGCAAATTTGTTCTTTTCCTACAAAATTATTGTTAGCTGACACGAACCCATCTTGATATCAATGAACAATTGTTGCAGACCATCATGGTATATAACCACTCACTTGTATCAGTTGTTATAGAATTGTGTTGTTTTACAATGTTTTACATCACTTTTGATATTTCCCAATTATGAATTTCAGAATCTGGGTCAGCAACATGTATATTTCATCTCCGACATCAGTGCAACAAGGGCACAGCATGTCCATTCCGTCATGTTCGAGGCGACAGAACAGTTGTGTGTAAACATTGGCTGCGTGGACTCTGCAAGAAGGGAGATGACTGTGAATTCTTACATGAATATGACATGTCGAAGATGCCAGAGTGTTATTTCTACTCCAAATTTGGTAAGTAACTTTTAGGGATAGAATTTAACTCTTCACATGCTGAAAGATTAATACATGTAGTCCAAACAAAGGCATATAAGGACCAGTGTTTCTATTATGTTATAAATTTAATGTTGCAGTGGACCAGCAGCTCTAAAGAATACAAGTACATTCAATATCTATTTACCAATAGGCTTACAATATATCAGTACATGGCCAATTTTACTGGTATATCAATAGCAATACAGGTAAACAATTGTAAATGGAAACACTGAGAACACACACACACGCACTCATATTCTATCATGCTACAATTTAAATATGGACACTGAGTGACGCCATCAAATTTGCTTGTATATAAAGTCTTTCCAGATAGCCTCAGACCCAGAGATAAACCAGCTTACCTGCACAAGATAGTCTATCCATCGATGCATTACATGAGGATGCCACTGACATTTGCCAAACCTCTTTTTAAAATTTTGTATATTACATCATACATGTTATTATGGCTTCTATTTTTGTTTCAGGACAGTGTAGTAATAAAGAATGTCCCTTTCTTCACATTGATCCTGAAAAGAAAATGAAAGATTGTCCATGGTATGACAGAGGTTTTTGTCGTCATGGTAAGTAATGAGTGTGTGACCTTATGTTTCATCTTAAACAATGCTTTTGATTAAACTTGGTTTATGGATCAGCGGACTGTGAAAACTGGAAATTGGAGAAATCAGTTTGAATACATTGAGTACAGAGAGATGGCCATGTTGCCGTATCCCAATTACATAGATCTATGCTCATGCTGTTGATCACTGGATTTACTGGTTCAGACTGGATTATTTACATACCACTACCATATAGCTGGAATATTGCTAAGTGCAGCATGAAACAACAAACAAGCAAGTGAATTAATTTTAGAAGCCCAGACACACTTCCACATAGGATCAAAAGAAGAAAAAGAACAGCACAGTGTGTGATAGGATAAATGAACAAATATACAAGTTATTGTAAAATTTACAATCTTCATGCTTTGCTTTCTGTCCACAGGTCCTAATTGCAAGAACAGACATGTGAGGAGACTTATCTGTCAAAGCTACGTCAATGGCTTCTGTATTGAGGGACCCAACTGTAAATACCAGCAGTAAGTGGAACTAACATTGATCATGCCAAAGAGAAAACAAATGTTAAGTGACAAATGTGCTTGGATCATTAGTGAAGGTGTCATAAGTTAAGTCCCAAGAATGCAGTTAAATCTACTTATATTTAGCATATTCACTGTTTATCATCATTTTTCTTTTTGTTGACATTGTAATGGGATTTGTGGAATTGCAAGTCCACACTGAACATGAATATCTATTGTGCCCCTAGAGTGTTCAGGTTGGAAAGTTAGCTCTGAAAGTTGTGAATACACAATGCCACTTGGAAAGTCGTCAAGTGTATATTTGGGATTACACTTTCTTAGTGAAGTACAGATTCTAGTACTTTTGTTGGGTTGAGTCCCATCTGGGATGCACATTGGCTGAGAGAGTTAGACGTCTGACTTTGTCTGCTGGCGCTTAAGTGCCCGACTGAGGGTCCGGATGGGACCTAACCCAACAAAAGTACTAGAACCTGTACTTTACTTAGAAATTGTAATCCCAAAATATAACATATGTTATGAAAGTTGTCCTTCCATTTCAGTTCAACCAGAACCCAGTGGTTTAGGTCTAAATCCAAGAATCTGATTCATTATGATCCTTAGTCCTTAGCTTAACATAATGTCTGTGAGCTTGTTCAGTTCCATATCCTGAGATGACATAATCTAACTCAAAATGTGCTTGAAGCAGCATATATCTCTACGTGCCTGTCATTCTCTGAAGCTTGGGACCACCTCCGTGGTGTAGTGGTTAGAGCGTCCGCCCGGAGTGCGGAAGGTCGCTGGTTCGATCCCCGACCGCGTCATACCAAAAGACGTTAAAATATGGTACTTGTTGGTCCCTGCCTGGCGCTCGGCATTAATGGGTACAACAAGGACTGGTCGGCTCGGAGTCAGTATAATGTGTCTGAGTGGGGTATTCATGCTTCACTGCGGCATGGTATCTCAGTGGGCTAGCACTATAAAACCAGCTTAAGTCTGGGCTAGTACAAACAGCCGCACATACACATACACACGCATGCACGTCGTCATATGAGCGAATATTCTCAAGCACGACGTTAAACCCAATTCCACCACCACCTCTGAAGCTTGTATTACAAATTCTGTGTGGTTGGAATTTCAGTCCCAAGTTTGACCTGCCAGTGAGTGACCCAGTCCAGCTGGCCAAGAAGGCCTCTATTGTCTGTCACTTCTGTGGGGAGACAGGCCACAAAGTGCTCAACTGTACCAAGATGCCCAACAATGTCAAGATGGAACAGATGATGGTAAGGTCTTTTGATGTAGCCCACCTTCTCTCAGATATATGTCTGGTACTGTTGTACTCCATGCAGTCACTATAATCATCATAATAACAGGGGATGGAAATTCCTAGGGGTGCCATAGAGCACCACATAGATAATTTATGTCTCAGATGTATGTCTGGTACTGTTGTACTCCATGCAGTCACTATAATCATCATAATAACAGGGGGTGGAAATTCCTAGGGGTGCCATTGGGCACCACATAGATAATTTATGTTTGCCTCTGTGAAAATAAGTGTCTCATACATTTTGATGATAAAATCAAAATCAAAACATCATAACAATTATGTCATTTCAATTTATTGTTAGTAAATCAGTAAACAACATGTAACACCTGTACACTTGAGGGCTGGATTTCCTGAACACTATCGTGACTGCAAGAACAGTTTACCTTCACTTGTCCTGGTGTTCATGTTGATGTGTTACCGGTGATGTGTTACCGTGATTACTTGATACATATTCAACTTTCGATTGTGTTGTGTGCTTCTGATTGCCTAGAGGGCAGTGGGTTAGCCCAGTGGTTAAAGTGTTCGCTCATCACACCAAAGGCCTGGGTTCGATTCCCAACATGGATTCAATGTGTAAAGCCCATTTCTAGTGTCTTCAATGTGATATTGCTGGAATGTTACTAAAAGCAGCATAAAACCTGCCTCACTCACTCTTATTGCTTATTTTTTGTCATTTACTCAGATGAATCAACAGATGAATGATGCTTCCATTGGTGATCAACGTCGACCTCTCGATCAAGTCACGTGTTACAAGGTGAGTTTCTCTTATATCCTTCTATAGAAAACATTGTTACTTTTTGATGTTCACCCTGCTCACCTTTTAAGTGATAGTTTTCAACAAGGGTTAAACTTCTTTTCAAATTTTCTGCACTTGCATTACACTTACGATATTTTCCTTGATTTATCAATGACTTTATGCTTGATGTTTCAGTGTGGCGAGAAAGGTCACTATGCCAACAAGTGCACCAAGGGTCATCTGGCTTTCCTCAGCTCCAGTGCTACATGATGTGTGTGTGTGTGTGTGTGTTTAATGTCGTTGGGCACTGTGTGGTGTACATGCTGTAACGGAACTGCTAAGAGTGAGTGAGTGAGCTGTGTTCTATGCTGCTTTGAACTGTTTGACAGTTATATCACAGCATGCCCACTGTGGAAGGAAAACCAATCTGATGCAGATCTCAGACATGTACCACTCTGGCGAAACCTGCAAGGACAGATCGAGCTGAGAAAATTATAAATATTATCAGCGGAAATCTTTTGCACTTAATGGTTGCAAATCTACACAGCTAAGTGTAGTCTGAATTGTTAAGAGCAACCATCTGTTGAGATGATCCTCATAATTTCAACCAGGTGGAATAGATTGTTTATGCAAAAATGTTGCAGTACATGTTTTTCTCAGTGATCTGAGTGGAACTTGGGACGCTATCCCTCATACAAGTGCTGCAACTAACAGATTGTTTCAAGTGTTGATGAACACAGTGAACCCAATGAAGTACTTGATATGAAATGATGTGACTTTTTGTTCATAAGTCTTTAATACAACAAAAAAACTCCTCCCTCTCTGATGTAATTTTGATTTCCTGATTTAAAAAGCCATTGACAGTCTCAAATGGCACAGCGAATGAATATGTTTAGTTTCCAAGGAACGTGTCATGATTTCAGTTGTATAAATCAGGGTACGTAGGTTGTGAAAAGCATTGTACTTTTTGGTGTAGAGTTATACTGAATATATATATTATTATTATTATTATTATTTTCAGCATGAACTACTTTATTGAATAGGTTTCCATACAAATAGCTGTTACAGTCTGTTTGTGACAAAATGATACCGATGAATTGCAATCTAACACAAAAACAAATAGACATGTCTCTGACGTCACTAATGCACATGCATCTCGCTTTTCGCGCTGTTCCATTAGTTGCCAATGCGCCCTTGTCACAAACTGGGAAAACGCACAAATAAATGATGATAGTTTCTTAAACAACTTTTTTATTTTTGTGACAAAAATTATGCAATTTTTTTCTAGAGTTGGTCTGTTGTTTTTATTGCAGTCCGCGTTGGTTTGATTCTTTTATGTCAATTTGTTTTTGTGTTAGATTGCAATTCATAGGTATCATTTTGTCTCAAACGGACTGTAAAAGATAAACAAAATATAGGGGAGTGTCACAAACAATGTATTGTATATTTTGGGGAGGGTAAGGCTTTGAAGTTCATCCTACGCATCCCTCTTCTAAATTTCAATTCCCTTACTTACATAGAGTCATAATACATTTTATGATGTTGTGTACACATAAGTTTACTCGAGTTGAATGCTTCTTGGATCTAAGCATCGTAACTTATATATGGCATATTGGGGAGACATTTCATTGGGTGATATTTTGATAACAGATCGTGAGAATTGTTTGCCAGTTTGTCCACATGGTGGCTTCGTTATTTGTAAATATTTGTATCCTTCATGTTAGGTAAGATACAAGTATGACTTTGAGAGAATGCCTGATGTCTTCACTGTGAATATACATTGTGAGCATGGAATGAATGTTGGTGACATTTTGTTATGGAAATAATAAAACACGTTTAAACAAAAAAGAACAGTTTTTGATATTTCAGTGGTGTATATGTATGTATATATATATATATATATATATGTGTATATGTATATGTATATGGTAAGAGGAAACGTATACAAAAGTACAAGACATTGGCATTGCTGTGACATCTCCAAAGAAGCACAGGTTCAGGGGTGCAACTCTGCACAACCAATCAGCTCCCTCCAGTGTGTGAAATAGTTTTCAAATTTTGCTACCCAGTCGGTCTAGCTATGCCTGAAAGCTACTAGCCCACAAAATAATTCACTAGCCGAAATTTGAATGTAGACAGAGGGTTCATCATTAAGCTGCAAACATGATGAACATTTTTATCAGGCCATAATCTTACATGAATTAAAAGTGTATTATAACTTGACAAGTGGGAGAGAGTGATATATTTACAAAAGGACTCTATTAAAATTCACTAGCCAGTCGGGCCAGTGACTGTGGAGATTTACTGGCCTGACTGGATTTTTATTGGCCACGGGCTAGCGGACCAGTGGCTATTTCACACACTGGCTCATTATGATAAATTTGAACAAATAAAAAGCAAGGAAGTTTTACAGACACAATCTTAGAAGTTTGTGCCTTTGTGTCCTATTGGACATAATATACTGAACAGCATTAGTAACACACCACCCTAAAATGCACCGACGATGCTCAGATATCATGGGTACATTTCAGTATGACCGGGATATTTTGTATTATATGGGTGGTGCATTTCTAATGTTGTTCATTATATAAAACATTATGCAAACCAGATGATTAATTATGTCCAAACAGGCGTTAAGATATCTTGAACAGTGCATGGACTTCGTAAGTGAACAACTGTGGTACCCCACCACACCATATATAGTCATCTGTTTAAATGTCAACAGCCGAACACCACAAAAAGTTGATATTCAAACATTGCCTACATAATTACTGAAGACTGAAAGCTTTAAGTCTAATCACTTGATGATGCCACCATACGGCCAGAGTTCAAAGTTCAGGTCCCTCTTTCAATCTAAAAGTGGCCTTGGTTCAGTATCTGTCATGGTCGCACCAGCAGAAGCACAATGTTGACAACGGCGCCTAACTTACAACACGAGATGGTTGAGGAAGACGTATGGGATGTCAGTACAGATCTGGATTAAGACTTGTCCCAAATGGACAAACGTTACCAGCTGGTTTGTGAGTCAGTCATCCTCGATAATCTCCAGGGTATGGGCCTACCTTCCGATAAATCTCCACTACTGGAGATTTATCGGAACGTATACCCTGGAGATTATGGACGACAGATTATCCCCGTCAAGGTACTGTACACCTGTCAAATAGCCATGATCAAAAGAGAGATCCTGTTAAGTGCAGTGATTCTTTTCCGCACCAAAACCCTCCAACCCGACTGACTGCAGAGGGTTCAACAACAAACACATGGGCGTAACGTTCCATCCGACGTCCATAAACAGGGTGAATAACTGCTGTCAGGGTGAAACTTCGCCTCATCCGAGAAGAGGACAATAACAGTTTAACAAAGCGATAGTAGTGCTACGCCTGTCGTAAGTCTGTGTTAAAGTTACGGTCGCCTTGAGGAACGGTTCCCAGGAACCTGAACCTCAGATGTCTGGACCGTTCCAGGCGTGTCAGCTCCATGAAGTGGTATCAACACTGGACGTGCACAGGATGCCATGACCGGATGTTATTCTCTCGGAATCTATTTCCTACAGTCCTGGAGAGCGGAAGGTCGCGGGTTCGATCCCCGACCGCGTCATACCAAAAGACGTTACAATATGGTACTTGTTGGTCCCTGCCTGGCGCTCGGCATTAATGGGTACAACAAGGACTGGTCGGCTCGGAGTCAGTATAATGGTGTCTGAGTGGGGTTTTCATGCTTAACTGCGGCATGGTATCTCAGTGGGCTAGCACTATAAAACCAGCTTAAGTCTGGGCTAGTACAAGCAGCCGCACATACACATACACACGCATGCACGTCGTCATATGAGCGAAATATTCTCAAGCACGATGTAAAACCCAATTTCACCTCACCTCCTACAGTCCTTGCAGCAATCGGACGTTTGCCCGGGATGCTGGGTGCGCTCAAAGTTGTAGTTTGATGGTTGTTTGTTGTTTAACGCCGCGCTCTGCAACAGCAACATGACGGCAGTCTGTAAATATTCGAGTCTGGACCAGACAATCCAGTGATCGACAGTATGAGTATCGATCTGAGCAACTGGAATACGATGACATGTGTCAACCAAATCAGCGCGTCTGCCCACCCGAGTTCGTTAGTCGCCTCTTACGACAAGCATGGGTTACTGAAGATCAATTCTAACCCAGATCTTCACGGGTTAGCTGTAGTTTCAAGCCGCCCTTGCAGGTACACCGGACAGAGATGATTCTGTTGTCTACGACACCACTCATGTTAAATAAGGAGGAGCAGTCTATGTCTTGGCACTTTTGCTCAGTTGATCATTGGTATATGTTGTATATCAGTGTCGGGGACAAGTTGGAACAAGTAGGATTGTGAATCTTACCATATAGTTATTAAAACGAAAGACATTAGAGGTATAAATCTAAAGTGTGAACTTGCAGACACCCTTCCCCTTCAAATTCAGATTTAACTAACCCCATCAGTTGAGGTGAGGTGAGGTGAAATTGGGTTTTACGTCGTGCTTGAGAATATTTCGCTCATATGACGACGTGCATGCGTGTGTATGTGTATGTGCGGCTGCTTGTACTAGCCCAGACTTAAGCTGGTTTTATAGTGCTAGCCCACTGAGATACCATGCCGCAGTGAAGCATGAATACCCCACTCAGACACATTATACTGACTCCGAGCCGACCAGTCCTTGTTGTACCCATTAATGCCGAGCGCCAGGCAGGGACCAACAAGTTCCATATTTGAGCGGCTTTTGGTATGACACGGTCGGGGATCGAACCCGCGACCTTCCGCTCTCCGTGCGGACGCTCTAACCACTACACCACGGAGGCGGTCCCCCTCAGTTGATGTCCAAGCAGATGTACATTGAAATTATCAAACCACCAGTCTTTTCAACGAATATCGTAAAATCAGTATGACACACATGCTGTTCATTGTCCATTATTACGCAATCCTTTTGAGCTACCATCTATCTGATCAAGACGGCCGTCTTCTAAAACCACAAATATGGAATGACGTAAAAAAAGCAATGAATTTCATTGGCGGATCCAAGAGGGGTGGTGTGTGTGTGTGCGTGCGTGCGTGTGTGTGTGTGTGTGTGTGTGTGTGTGTGTGTGTGTGTGTGTGTGTGTGTGTGTGTGTGTGTGTTCATGGGGTTCGAACACTGAAGTTAATGTTTAACGCTGTTGGGGGTAGTCCAGCATATAACTAGACGACTTTGCACTATACCAAGGGCTGTAATACGAGTTTATTCACATGAACTATATTGGGGGTAGCCTCATGATTAAAGCGTTCCTGAGATTCGGTTCCGTGGCCCCACATGGGTACAATGTGTGAAGCCCATTTCTGGTGTCCCCCGCCTCGACACTGCTAAAAGCGGCGTAAAACCTCACCCAGCTAGCCAGTGAGCCTAGCACGGTAATGAAACCTTGAATCAGAGCGCTATAGCCGTGCATGTTGCATGGGCTCTATAACAAACAAGCAGTATATGTAAGGTATCGACCCGTGAAGATCCGGGGTAGAATAGGTCTTCAGCAACCCATGCTTGCCACAAAAGGCGACTATGCTTGTCGTAAAAGGCGACTAACGGGATGGGGTGGTCAGGCTCGCTGACTTGGTTGACACATGTCATCGGTTCCCAATTGCGCAGATCGATGCTCATGCTGTTGATGACTGGATTGTCTGGTCCAGACTCGATTATTTACATACCGCCGCCATATAGCTGGAATATTGCTGAGTGTGGCGTAAAACTAAACTCACTCACTCACTATGTAAGGTTTCAAGTGAGTGAGTGAGTGAGTGAGTGAGTTTTACGCGGCTTTTAGCAAAATTCCAGCAATATCAAGCGGGCGACACCAGAAATGGGCTTCACACATTGTACCTGAAATAAGTTATCACTTCACTGACATAAAAACACTTATGAAACAAAGGGGTACATGCCCAGTCAAGAAATATAAAGTAGGTGTACGTAAATTATTTTGGGAGCATAAATCATATTTCGTTTATGGAATCGGTAGACTTTTCGAGAAACCTTTGATGTCTACTTCCTACTTCATCAAAGCCCATTACAGTACAATGTGCGTTGTACTTCGCTGACTTGATACGGGTCACTGGCATAGCTGTCATGTCGCGTTCGGATCATATTCATAAGTTCATGGCATCATGAACGAAATTCTACTGAGGACACACAAAGGGGAATATTTACCTGGAGAAGATGTATTTGGGT